AAGAAACACATCCAGGATTTTGGTAGGTTGTGTCGAATCTGTATGTCTTTTTTGATTTTGGTGTTTTGGTTTGTTTTGTATTTTAAGACAGGGTCATGCTATTCCTGGTTGGTTTCAAACTCACTATGTGACCCAGGCTGGACTCTAGCAGCAAATGTCCTGCCTCATCCTCTTGAGTGCTGGAGTTACAAGTGTGTGCCACCGCACCCAGTTGAATCTGTGTATCAGTTTTGAGAGAAGTGTCAGGCATACCATGCAGTCTTCTGCTCTAAGAACAAGGTATCCTTTTATTGACAGTGAACCCTTGAGCTACGATTGATCTGACGTACAAATGATTTGGGTTACAACCAAAATTTTAGTTTTAACTTATGACTACCAAAATCTTGAGTTATGACCCAGATGCCAGCCACTTGTGCTTCCAGATGGTCTCAGATCAGATTGAACCCTTAAAGAGCTCTGGAAGGAACATTACAACATCCTTTATTGTGTGGGGTTCACTGAGAAATCCTGAGCCAGGGTCTCTCTAAGGACACCGAGATCTGCCTGTGTACAGGAGAGATTTTAAGGCAGAGTGGAGGAGCCTGAGCCTTCAAATGACCAACTTGAGTTACAACCAGCCCCCATGAAAGAATTGTGTTCGTTAAATCAAGGGTCCACTCTATTTAGGTCTTCTCTACTTGTAGCAGTGTTTTACTTTTCAGAGTACATGTCAAACATATTCCTAAGAATTTTGTCTTTTGCTGCTGCTGTAAATGTATTACCTTCTGAACTTCAATTTATTTGTTTATTGGTACTAGAAGGTACAATTTGTTTTTGTAAATTGGCCTCATACCCTGTAAGCTTGCTGAACTCATTTAGATCTCACATATTTTTGGTCAGTTATTTAGAATTTTCTTATAAAAGATGATGTCAAACAAAAGGGGTTTTACTTTTCCCCTTCCAGTGTGGTGCATTTTATTTATTTTTGTTGTTTAATTACTGCAGACGGAACCTCCCGCAGGATGTTGAGGGGAAGGGAAACAACGGAAATCCTTCCTGAAAGAGCGGAAGACATCGCAGCACAGTGATCAGTTCGCACAATGCATAACAGCCACACCTTGGAAGCAGCCTACATGTCCCTTAACAGATGAATGGGTAACGAAAATGTGGCATTCCACACAGTGGAGGGCTCCTCTACCCTAAAGAAGGATACATGAGTCGTTTGTAGACAAACAGAGGCACCTTGAGACCATAATGTCCAGTGAAATACGACAGACCACAAACTTAAATATCGCATGGCTTCTCCTATGTGAAAAATCCAAAGTATAAATAAATTAAAGAGTAAAATGAAAAACAGGTGATAGGAAACAGAGAGATGGATCTTTTGCAAATGGGAAGAAGACCAAGATGGAGGGATGGAGAGGGAAGGGTAAAGAGAATGAAGGTGTATTGTGTAAATGACCAACTCCCTATGCTGAGGGTTCTCATTATGTGCGGCACACGTGTGTCAATAAAACTAAAGATTAAAGGAAAAAGAATGTGGAAATAAAAGAGTGGGCATCCTTGTCTTCTCTGAACTTAGGGGAAATGCTTCCATCTCTTACCATTAACTCTGTTGCTGGCTGTGGACTTTATCATATTGAGGATTTTATCGAATTACTACAAATAAACGTGTCATTTTCACGTCTTCTTGATGGACTGAACTTTTCATTTTCAGAAAAAAACTCCTCTGTTTCCAGCAACATTTGCTCTCTCATTGCCTGTTCCTCACTGATTGTGAAGTGACCCCAGCTGGCTGTCTAAATGGCCTGCAGCACCTTTGCCATTCCTTAGGTCCACCCTGGAATCTAAGTGTGTGTCTTCCCTGGACAGCGAGGCCTCTTGTGGCTCCTGCTGTCGAAAGCAGACTGGACGACCTTTGGGCCGTTCTTGATGCTAAGTGTTCCCCCTCCTCTCTTCAGAGCTGCGTGGAGTTTGGTATTTGTTTTGACTTGGCTGGGCTACTTCAGGAATCTGCTTCTGGGCAGACTTCGATGTCAGCCCCTGGCCAGGGCCTCCTTGGTCGTCCTGCATCTCTGGCCTTCCTCCTTGCCCTGCTGAAGGCAGCTTAGCAGGCTAATAAGACTCTCTCTCTCTCTCTCTCTCTCTCTCTCTCTGTTCTCTCCTCCCTCCTCTCTCTCAGATGGCTCTGGATGTCACCAGGCTGTCAGCCTCCGGGAACCACCCGCCAGCCAGCTGAATGCTCTTTAGTTCTCATAGTGCCTCAGACCACCACCTGATCTGACTGAAGTCGGCCCTGTGCAGGGTCATCCTCACAGCCAGCTTTGAGACTTGCTCTGACCTTTAGGGCTCTTCTGTTAAAACTTCTAGCTTGCCATCCTTTTCTGTGTTTCTGTTCTGGAGCTGAGTGTGCAGCACCATCCCCGTGATGCAAGCCCAACTCTCAGAAGTTTCTCTTCCTCCTGCCCCATCTCTTCAGGCCATCTGCACTGCAGCCCATCTCTCGTGGGATTCTGCGTGTGTGAGGCGCACACACACCTGCACCTCCTGGATGCCCTAGCCACGGTTCCAGGCGAAGACCACACTGGAAAGAACACTTGCATTTCACTGATGGCAGCAAACACCAGAAAGGAATAATTTTGGTCAGCACAGAAACAGCCATTGCTTGTGTCTTCTTTACATCCTGGGCATTCACTCACTCTTCTGATGTTTGTGACCATGGAAAGATGCACATATCCCACTTTCCAGAAGACACGAGTTTTTGAAACACCGGGCAGCTGCGACACTCATCCTGTTCAGGACCTGCACAGCTTCCTTCGTATCCACCGTTGAAATCATCTAAGACTCTCCCCCAGGGCAAGGGAAGACTTTGCTGAAGGTAGAGCCTGCCACCTTCCAGCACTAAAGAAGCTCCTTCTTCCTCCTCATGACTCAGCCTCCTGGTCCAACTCTGTGGGGCAACAGTGAACCCCCTCTTGCTGGTCACAGAGCACCCGGCTCTTCCCACTTACTCCTTTCCATGTTCCCTCAGGCTTGAACTTCCTGTGCTCCCCTCCAAGTCACAGGAGACAGCTGTGGGGCTCTCTGTTTGATGTTGTGCCTTCTCCATCGGGCAGGACTCTGTTCCTCGGCTCTGGAGATGGGGACAAAACCTGCTTCCCTAGGAGCGATGTGCTCACTCTGAGTGGGTGCTGGATGCAGCAGTAGCCCCGGGTCTCTTGGCCGGTTCCTCCTGGTATGAAAATGGAGGCTTATAAGGAGCCGGGACACCAGGGACTGGGACCCTGCTTTTCTGCCTGGCTGTGTCCGGGTGAGTTCCAATCCTGTCCATGGGCTGCATGAAGGAAGGGGTCTCTGGGTCCAAGAGGGCTTATGTGACCCATTGGTGGGGGTGGCATAGGCCAGGTTTGGGAGCAGATACAGAAAGCCCAAGTTTTCTGGGTAGAAACTATAGCTGTAGCCTGGGATGTGGGGCAAGAGGGAGCCCCAAACTCTTTGGAGAAGAGCTTTCCTTAGAGCTGGAGGGTGCTGGGGTGACAGGCGCACCTTATATTCAGGCAGGGCTTACAGGTACTCAGGAGACCTGCTTCCATTGCTGGTGCCCCAGCACAATTTGAGGTCAGAGTTGCTGCTTTGGTTTTAACAATTCTTTCCAGCTGTGGGTCTCTGTGCAGCTGTCCCTCTAAAGGTGCGTCTCCTTGGCTTCACAACCCCTCTCTGGGGGTGGCTGTGTCCTCACACTCTGTGCCCCTGTTGAAGAGTCCCTTTTATGAACCTCAGATGGGAGTGATGCTGTGGGCAGCTCAATCTTAAAGTGGAATGCAGCTAACAGGTGCTCTGGAAACTAAGTTAATGTCATTCCCAGTTGGCCTTAAGGTGAACATGCTGTTAAAGAGAGACAAAGGTTTGTAATCTTAGAGCAGGAAGGGAACACTTGCTGTGAATAGCACCTTCACTTTATAGATGAGGAGACTGAGGCACCAACAAAGGCAGTGGACTTCTTAGGGAAGCCAAGCAGCTCAGGCTTGCCCGGGGGCAGGGTTCCCGAGGCTTCCGTATGGTCCTACCACAGAGCACCATGGGAATTCACTTTATCATTCATTTTATCTGTCTGCCTGTCTCTCTCAGTTCTTCTTAGAAAAAAAGTACAACACAATGTAAATCATCTATTTTAAAGGAACTTTCTATTTTGGGGATATCCATGTATTGTTTTCTGAGAAAAAAAACAGTACACTCAATAAGGTGCTCTTCTTCTTAGAACCTACCTGATAGTCTTGTTTGAGTGCCTGGACCTTTTCCATTTTGGATTCAGACTATGAAGGAAAGAAAAATATCTGCACATCAGCTCTTCGTTCTAGTGTAACGCTGTGAGTTTACATTTAGGTGTCGAGACCTCTGTGGGCTCTGCGGGAGGTGTGAGGAGAATTATCTGTGCTCCCTCTTGGGAACTGAGGGCAAAACACAGAGCATCTTGCAGTTCAACGCAGATAAGGTCTTGAGGCAGTATGTGAATTATAAATAATAATTTGTATTTTCTACAGAGGACGGTCCACTGCAGCAGTATTGTGTCTGACAATTTACAAGAATAAGGAGTGCATTTGGAAATAATAAAACCCGACAGTTGTTAGGGGCCGACTCTGTGCCAAATACTTTCCTTGCTCCACCCTACTGGGTGCTTAGTGTTATTATCTTCCCTTTGTCAGGGGAAGCGCCTTGCACAGGTGCTAAAAGTCACCTGGTCGGATATGGAAGAAATACAAGTAGGTTCATCATGTTCGTGTCAAATTTCCTTCATAATACTCTGTGACAGTGCTTCTGTAAATTTGTTGTACCACCATCACAAAATTCTTTAAAGTGGAAACCTTGCGGATCCCGCGGAGTCTTCATAACTGTCTTTTTGATGCCTTTCTGGAATTTGGTTTCTGATCTCTGACGTCATTTCCTGTGACGTGTATGGGGAGCCGGAATTGCACCCCTTCTACAAATGATGTCCAGTCATTGGCCACTCCAGTGTACTTATCACTCTCGTCGCTTCCACCAGCTCCTCCTCCACCGTGTACAGGTGCCGCGTCACCGTTTCCCAGGGCAGTCCTGGTTCAAGTTTAGGGCCTTGCAGTTATTAAAGGCTCCACTGCCCACGCCCATGGTGTCGTATCATGGATGACCGCTAGGTGTCAGCAGCGGCCCCTCTGGAAAACACAAGCAAGCGTTTCATCACGAAACTTAAATCAGAGCAAATAATTAAGTGTGGTTACAGCTACCTGCAGCCTCGGCCACTTGAAATAGGGAGAGAGCAAGGGGAGGAGCGAGGACAGGTGCGGGACAGGTAGCTCCTTCCCGGGGCCTGACAGTGTGGGCAGGATCCTCTTCCTTAGAGACAGCACCTTCCATGATGAATGGAATGAGGTTGTGGTGCCCTTGCCAATTTTCACTCCGAAGATGAAGCCGGTAGGCAGTGAGAGGAGTGAACGGCTTCTCCGTTTAAAGTTGCTGTTCATGTCCTGATGGGACGGAGGTCGTCCAGGTAGCTCCCTGGGTTCCCACACATCCACTGGAGTACTGTGTGTGAGCCAGAAGCTGCACTGCCTGAACAGGAATGATTCATAGAAGATCAGAAAGTGTCCACGGCCGGAGCCCCCTTGCAATGTCTCGCGGACCCATGGATGTTACCTTGGACCGGATGGATGCGGCTGGCGTCTAGAAGCCCTCCTGACTGCAGCTGCGTGGCACCCGCAGCACCCAGGTCGGTAGCAGGAAGGCACCCGCGTGGCTCTCGAGATGTTCCTGTGTCAAAGCCCTGGGAGCTGCTTGCTGTTGCTGGTGGCCCTTACCAGCTCTGAAGCAGCTTCCGACTTGAATGAATCTTCCAATTCTACTGCCCAAGATGCACCGAATGTCCAGTTTGCTGCTTCTAGCACAGACCCAGATGAAAGGATTTCTGTGTTTGAGCTGGACTATGATTATGTGCAGATTCCTTATGAAGTCACCCTCTGGATACTTCTGGCATCTCTTGCAAAAATAGGTAAGTCCTTGAGCACCTGTTTGGGAGTTATTTCTCCCTTGAAATGACATGGATTTGAACTGTCACTGTGAAACTTCTTTTCCCTTCAGTCCAGGGAAAGTCCCAAAGCTGTTTAATGCTTCAGGATTGGGCTGTAAAATGTAAGAGTGTACTTCTAGGTTCTGGGTTGTTTTCACTTCTCATTTTTGAGGTGACAACCATGTGACTTTATCACAGAAAAGCCTCCGATTCTATGCTATAAATTCATAATGTGTGAAGTGTGAAGCCCTCAGGGTGGCGTGGGCTGGACATTTTAGCAGACTTGTAATATTTCTTCTATAGAACACTTGTCCACTCTCAGCTGCATACATGTGGGATGAATTCATGGCTCCTGTAGTCCTTTCTTCACAAGTGTCCTGTGTTTCTCAAAAACTGGCAGGGACAAGGAGCAAGCCAACCGTAGGCAGCTCTTACATCTGTCTGGGTGAGACATGGGCAAGGGCGTGACAGTCTTGGTACAATGTTGGTTTGCATCTAAGTCAAATGGAGCCCACGAGGCACCTCTGCTTTCCTTTGTGATATAAAGTGACTTCAGGTGAAGGATTAAATTCCAGTGCACTAGTCTTTGTGCCAGATCCACAGTGGTGATTACACTCTTTTTAATCCCCACTCTCCTCCTAAAAACCAGTTTATCCTGAAGTGGTAAATCAATATGGTTACCTCAATTACTAAGCTTGATGTCTCCTTTGGCTTAGCTATAACTTGACGTTGAGTGTGTAGATTGTCTTCTTGAGACAGATAGAATCTCTGGGCCGTATCGATGCCCATATGTTTTCCTTTCTCTAGGATGGATGTAGACTGCAGGCTGAGAGGTATGTGGCCTGCTGTTAGTTCCTGTGGCCCTAGTCTATGCAGGTCTATGCCTCCATCCCAGTACTTTCTGAGCACTGTGTCCTTAATAGTTGCCTCTTTCTAACAGCATTTCCCTGTGAGCTGGTGAAGAGTGAAGATGTAATGGGAATTGTTAGGTTGAAGAATTCTTTCAGTTTGGGAAATGGTTAAGTTATGCAGAGGTTCTCACATTATTTTAAAGAATTTGAGGAATGATGACTTTCTAAATAGTCATATCCTCGGTTCAGAGCAAAGAGTCTAATGCTTTACACAAAATATGACCACACAGACACCGAGGACATTCAAGGTGGTCTTCTGTGGCATTTGGGTGCTCCTCTGAAAACTCTGATCCTTCTGTGTCTCTGCTGTCCCCAGTCATGACACATTTTGGTGTGGGGACCAGGAAACTGGACCTGCCCCTGACTAGCTGGTCACTTTGTCTATCAATAGATACCTCAGGGTGGAAGGACCCATCTTGGTTTATATTAGCAGGAAGCATGGCTGGTTCTGGAGAGGCTATGCGTGGAAAGACTGTGGGCCACTGGTGTTCATGGGATGGTTGGTCACAGGCTCTAGGTTTCACGTTATGTCTTGTCTCTCACTTTAGCAGAAGAAAATAACTTAAGTAGGTTATCTGCTGAACATACTTATTTACAGGTGACTTCATATTTGCTAGTCTTCAGGAATCCAGGGAGTTCCTATATTCCTGACAGAAATGGGAGGTAAGGAGGAAAGTCTTATTTATTGAACACATGCTGTGTGCCAAATAACAGGCTGAAAGTTTTATCTATGATGGCAAAGGAGTAATAATGATGATAATTATAAAATTTTAATACCTAAGGAATGCATATGGGTTGTGAATGATTGTGTTTAAAGCCTTAGTAGAAATATAATAACCCTTATTTTATTCTTTGAGTTCTCATTCAATGAAGATTGATTTCTGAGTGCCCACGTGATATGGGGGAATGACCATGGTCACTGACCTCCAGGGACTTAGTTGACCAAGAAGACAGGCTCACCTAGAACTGAGCGCTCAGTGTGCTGACAAAAAAAAAAAAAAAAAAAAAATCTAAAAAAAAAAAAAAAAAAAAAAAAAAAAAATTCCTCCCAATCCAGCTTAAAACAATTAACTATGCATTAATAAAGCAAGGCTATCCCAGATCAAAGATGATAAAAAATCACCTCAGACTCTGTGTGTTGTCTGTTTCAGTTCCACCTTTTAGAACACTGTGGAAAAACGTTCTTTGAACCATTTGGAAGGATGGAATTGTAGGTTCATCTTAACTTGCAAGCAAGTCATTATTTGGGTCCACTTCATGTCTGGAAGTGACTGACTCCAGTGTCCCTCAGAGAGGGGAGAAAGGCTTTGGCTGTGAAGCGCGTGTAGCAGTCCTCATAGCAGTGTCCTGCTTGTGAGGACAGAGACTCTTCCTGGTACAACCCCACAGGGACAACTGGGCCCAAGGCAGGTGTGGCTGGGTCCATCTCAGGAAGCTGGATTCCCTGGATAGGGACAGGTCTGAGGGAACCATGGTTTGAGCTCTTTCACTTCCTTGGCATATGAAGGAATGCTAAGTTTGGTTAAAATAAGCCCTAACTGAAGAAAAAGATGGAGAGGAAGCAAAGGAAGACGCTTGGAAATTTGTGATTAGGAAATGGAAAATCTAGGATAAGAACGAGGGGTTACACTGGCCTGGAAGCCAGGGAGGTAGCAGTGGTAGGGTGTCCCCTGAGCAGAATTACACTCCATGATATCGACCTGCCTGCTGACCAGAAGTGGAGGAGTGCAAAGCTGTGGTCAGGGAAGCCCATATCCTCTTCGGATGGCCAAGTCCAAGAATTCCTAGGGAGACATTTTTCAGCCTCCCACAGCCTATGGGAGAAGCCACCTTTGGTTTGAAATCTCCCAACTCTTCTCCCAATATTCTTCCCAAATCAAAATTTGCCTCAGCAAGGTAGATTTCCTCCATGGATATTACAAACATCTGTAAGAGGCTTTCCTGCCTCTCTCCTTTGCTCTTGAACTTCTCCCTACCTAAATTGTCTCTCATCCCACCATCTATGTCATGCAAGTCTTCATCATTTTCTAACAACACATTAGATTTCCTCCCAGTAAGTGTCTGCAGTAGACAGTAAACTCACTCATTCATTTTATACTTGTAGATTATTTCAGGAAATAGACTGGCTGTTGCAGATGAGACACTTTGCAATGCTTGGCAGGGGTGGGGTGGGGATATAACCAGGATAATCATTCTGCATTTGGGGAATGTGGAGATTAGTGGGGGAGATAAGCTGTGCGCACAAGAAAAGCTAAGTAAGGATCACTGGTATTGGACAGGTCCTGTACAGATAAATGACTTTGATAACTCAGAGAAAGATAGAGAATTTCCTCAGAGGGAAGCTAGGAAAAGCTTAGGCTCAATTCTGAGCAGGACCTAAATGGACCTAGGGAAAAAACTACTCAAGCAGAGAGAATAAGATAAGAAGACCAGACAGATGGGAGCTGTTGCAGTGGAAAGCCGTTTGGTGGACTGTGATACATGCTGCAGAATAGGGCAGGTTGTGTGGGACACAGACTTGGAGAGGATCCATGAGGATCCACAGAGCTCCAAACTCTGACTGTATCTGTTGGTAAATTCAACATTCAGTTTATTATATCCTTATAGATCAGGTTACCTCTACTCCCTTATTTGCTTACATGTTCTACAAGTCTCACAGTGGGAGTTGTATTACAGTTTCCATCCCTGGTCTTCTACTCATGGTGCCTAAAGTTGGTCTTTGTAGAGGAATATTCAATGGATATTATCAGCTTAAACCCAGGTGATGCTTCTGTGCCTTCTGAGCCTTAGATGATTAGACACCCACGGTATAAACCTCACATCTGTAGGAAGGGTGTGGAATTCCTGGGGGCCAGGGTTGAGGGTAAGATGGGAGGTGTGATTATCATCTTTCCATCACTATAAAAATATCTCAGATACAGTAAGTAATTTACCAAAAAAAAAAAAAAAAAGGTTTTGGGCTG